ACGGCCGTCAGCGGGCCATTTGTCGGGGAGATGGGACATTCTTAGACATTACTAAACCCCTTCTCCTTCATCGCACTCATTTATGCATAATAAAGAGCATTACAGACTGTTGGACAGAGACAGGCAAAGAAGCATCGAGCAGACTGTCCCACTACAGCAGGAGGCTGGGGAGGCCTGGGGGGTAAGATGCCAACCGAAGGCCTTGTGTGCATGCATTTAAGCACAACCAACAGGTGCAAGACCCTGGGCGCGGGGGGCGGGGGGCGGGGAGGAAGAGACATATGTATTACTATTTGTAATTCCTTAAACAATAAAATTAAAAATTTTTTAAATAAAAAAAAAATCCCTTCTCCTATGGGCTGTTGACACCTCCCTCCGCAGCCCATCAGGAACTGAGAACAGCAGGCTGGGGCTCGGAATGCCGCCCCGGTTCTCCCCCCACCCCGCGCAGGTCCTTCGAAACAGTTAATGGATTTGACAGAGGAACTCGGATGACAGGTTTACCCTTGGATGTGATCTGGTGATAAAACCAGAAGTTTGCTTGCGAAAGGTTTATTCTGAAGAATAAATTATCTCCCTAAGTAATACACCCAAATGGTCTGGCAAAATACCCCAGGAAAGAAATGAAAGAAACTGCTTATTTTGCTTGAAAAATGGTTGGTTTCCGTGTATCAGAAATTAAGTGTTCAGTTAGGATTCTTTCCTGACGGCAGGAAAGCAGCTTCGGAATGATAGCGTTAGGGGGAAATAGTGGCTGTTCCGTTGATCTTTGGTTATCTGGTATAGCAAGCCTTTGTCATTTATCCTGATAGATTTAATGAAGACACTGTTCAGCTGTGTTCAGTGGATGTTCGGTTTCCTAGTATGATGATAATAATTTTTCTCATTTATTATCGGAAAACAATTTTCCAAGATAAATCATTCCCCCCTTTCACCTGCGTGCCGCTTTCCTCTGTTTCAGATCGACGTACAGCTCTATATTTTGTCATTCCTCTCCCCTCACGATCTGTGTCAGTTGGGAAGTACAAGTCATTACTGGAACGAAACTGTTCGAGATCCCATTCTGTGGAGGTACTTTCTGCTGCGGGACCTTCCTTCGTGGTCTTCCGTTGACTGGAAGTCTCTTCCAGATCTGGACATCTTAAAAAAGCCTATGTCTGAAGTCACGGATGGTGCATTTTTTGACTACATGGCGGTGTAAGTATCTAGTTTTATGCATTAAAGAGAAGATATTAAATTTGACTGTATTACAAGTCAATAGTCCCACGACTAATTTTTTTTCATAGATTTTTGGGTCTTAGTGTCTGTTCTTTTGTGAAAATTGGGGTTAAGTTAAATGACTTTCTTCATTTTGTTACTTCCCTGTGATGCCTGACCAGAGTATTTGGGTAAATATACATAGTTCACATGGCAGGAAGTAACCTCTTCTTTAAATTTCATTATCTTTAGAACACTTGTCATTTTGTTCAATAGCGAATGCTTTCCATATCCAGAAAAGGAATGGCCAGAGGTCAGAAAGCAGTTCGTTGGCAAGGAGAAAGCCATTCTCAAGGTTCTGGGAAATACAATTTTCTCACTAACCCAAAGCATTGACATTTTGGAATATAATGTAGGTGAGAGAATTAATGTTATTGAGCAACTGGTCCCTCAGCCAACCTAGCATCAAGTGTATCTGATGCTGTGAGACCAAACTTCCCCCGGGATAGTAATAATCATAGTAACTATCTTTTGTGAACAAATAAAATGATTTCTGACTCTTACAACCCCGGGTTGATTATTGCTCACGTACTGCAATTATGAAAATTGAAATTCAGACTATCAGTGGCTTATATAACTAATTAGTAGTGAGGCTTGGCCTGACCTATCTAGCTTCAAATTTGATTTTTTTTTCCTTTTTGAATTACAAGTTCCTAAATAAACAGGATTGTCTTATTAGGTTAGTAATTGTCTTAACCAGCTTGATTTAAAGGGCTTTAGGTTTTATTTTGATTGGGTAACTTTATTTTCATTTTCAATAACGTGAAATTGCTAGTTTAAACATTTATAGCTATTAAAAGAAACTGAGTTGTTTTTATTTTTATGTGATTCTTAGTTTGCTAGGTTAGCTGTAAGGAATATTTGAGCCTCCCTTTATGTTTAACACTAATTGAACTGTTACATTTGAGGCTGTTAATAAGAGTATGTAAGAAACTTGGTTATATATTTTTTAATCTATAGGAACATTTATGCTGGTTGTCTGTGTAGTTTATCTTCAGTGCAGTGTTTCTCAATCTTGGAACTAGTGACATTTTGGACCAGATGGTCTGGGAACTGTCGATGTTTTGAGGCACCCCTGGCTTCCACCCACTAGATGTCAGTAGTACCATCTCACTAACCCCCTTCCGTGATAACAGAAATGTCTCCAGATGTTGCCAAATGTTCCCTGGACCTGGGGGCGTGAAGAGAGAAGGGTGAGGAGCAAAGTCTCCCCCATTTGATCACTGCTCTATGTAGTGAATTTTAACCGTTGAAACAAGTGTTAGACCAAATGTTCCATGAGAGAATCTAAATGAAAGGTTAGAAAGTAAGTAATGACTTCCAGCGGAAGACTTTCTCAGTTTCTGGATCAGTAGTGCTCCCATAGCACCTCATGCTTTGTCCTGTCATGGCACTTGGCATACATATAATGGTGTCTGTCCCCCACTGTCCTCCATGAGAATTGGAACTATATAGTCATTGTATCCTTGTATCTAGCAAATTCTCAATAAATTATACATTGTTGAGCAAATAACTGGCTAACTTTTTTCTGTATTAATTTTCTAATTGTGACAATTTTATACAGCTATAAAATGTGCTGTCCATACACAAGAAGATCCTCGAAAGCTAGCCGCCCTATGTATGGAGCAGTGACCTCATTTTTACACTCACTGATCATTCAGAATGAACCCCGATTTGCTATGTTTGGACCAGGTTTGGAAGAACTGAATACATCTTTGGTGTTGAGCTTGATGTCTTCTGAGGAACTTTGCCCAACAGCTGGTTTGCCTCAGAGGCAAATTGATGGTAATTTTCCTGTTAATCTACAGTACATAATAAGTTAACACTTTGAGCTTGACACTAATGTTAAATAGAAAGAAATTCATTTTTTAATTAATTATTAGATGTGATGAAATATAGCAGTGATTTTTAACTGGTGTGATGTGAGAGTCACACTGGTGTGTCACAAGAATTTTTAAAACATGCAATATCTGACTCTGTAGTCTGGGACAGATATTGGACCTCTTTTCCCTTAGATTATCAAATAAAATAATGACAACAGTCAACATAACAATAGCCGTCCAGTGTAAATGAATCAAAATTATACCTATTTTTTGTCAGATCAGCAAAAATATATTTTTGATTGCTGCAGAATTTTAATAAATACTTTATATGTGCCATGACATAAAAAAAGATTGAAAATCACTGAAATATAGTAATTTGGTTAATGAGAGCCCTCCAGATGCCAAAGGATTGAGAGAATTAATGTACTTTTTAAAAGAGGTAAGCTTCCTCTTATTTCCTAAAGTTTATGCAATCCAGAATATAAGATTATGTGAAAGTAAATTATGTAGCCAAGATGTTGTATTTTATATTTTAAAAGAATGTTAACAGCAAAAACCATTTGGCACCTATCTACTATGTGCAAAATACTTTCACATAACTGTATATTGAAATTTCAAAAATACTTAATTTTCACCTTCCCCTTCTATGAAAAAAAAACACCAAAAAACAGAACCCAACAGCAGCCATGTAGTTAGTTGGTAAACAGGATATATAATAAATATAAATGATAATATAATCTAGCTTTACTTATTCATTTATTGAGAGCACTTATTAGATCCTAAAGATGCAGAGATTTAAAACCATATCAAAAATCTTTGTCCTGAAATCACTTGGTCTAGGATGGACAGAGACAAGTGCACAGGTAATTTGAATATGATGCAATTAGTTCCTGGGTAGAAAATTTAGGGTCAGAGAAGGCACCACATTGAATAAGATGCCTCACATGGTCATTAAGATGAGTAGGAGTAGGCAATAAAAAAAAAGACGGTAAAATATTCTAAGCAGTGAGAACTACATTTCTAAAAGGACAACACCCTGGTTGTGCATGGCACATTTGAAGTAGCTCTGTGTGTAGAGTGTACAGGTGAGAAGACACTTGTGTGCCATGCTTAAGCATTTGGAAGATCTTAAAGGATTTTTTTAAAAATATATTTTATTGACTTTTTACAGAGAGGAAAGGAGAGAGAGAGTTAGAAACATCGATGAGAGAGAAACATCGACCAGCTGCCTCCTGCATATCCCCCACTGGGGAAGTGCGCACAACCCAGGTACATGCCCTTGACCGGAATCGAACCTGGGACCTTTCAGTCCACAGGCCAACGCTCTATCCACTGAGCCAAACCGGTTTCGGCGATCTTAAAGGATTTTAAGCAGAGGAATGAGGTGGTCGAGATTGCATTTAGAAAGCTCAATCTGGCTTCCTTAAGTGGAAAATTGATTAGGAGGCATCATAAAGACATGGAGATGCATTAAGAAACCACTAATCTATACTAATAAAAGGGTAATATGCTAATCAGACCAAACATCTTCCAGACGACCTTTCGGACGTCCTTCTGGACAAAGCCACAGTGGTGGGGCCGAGGCAGAGGTGGGTAGGGGCAATCAGGCCAGCAAGGGAGAGCCGTTAGGGGGATCAGGTCAGCAGGGGAGAGCAGTTCCCCACCCTTCTACCCCCTCCCCACCATGCATGAATTTTGTGCCCTAGGCCTCTAGTCCTATATAATAAAAGGCTAATCGTTAGGGGCATCAGACAGGCAGGCAGGGGAAAGCAGTTAGGGGCATCAGGCAGGCAGGTGGTGGTTAGGGGTGATCAGGTAGGCAGGCAGGTGAGTTCAGCTGGGAGTTCGACCAGGAGGTGAGGCCATTCGGCCAACCGCCCATGACCCCTCACCCCGGCTGGCCCAGCCCAATAACCCCAACTGGGGTGGGCCAGACCCCACCCATGCACGAATGCATGCACCGGGCCTCTAGTATTGTGATAAAAGTATGAAGGATATAGAATTGACTGAATGTGTAGAGATAGATGCCTGCTATAAGCAATCCACTTGTAGCTCCATTAGGGCAGGAATCTTGTCAGCTTTATTCTTAGCTTGATCTAAGGTATCAGGCACATAATGGGCACTCAATATATATTTGACGCATGAATGAACAAGTGACTTTGTGGATTACTTTATGCATCCAGATCTCAAGAGCAAATTCTGGGCTAGAAATCAAGATTTGACAATCATGGAGTCCATGTGGACTTTGGAGTTTCTGAGGATGGAGAGGAAGATTGTGAACCAGGTGGTGAAATCTTCAGTGAATGTTTGGAGGAAGGGATTATCAAAAGGAAATTTATAAATTACAAGGTCAAGGAAGGAGAGATGGGACTATAGCTGAATGCTGTGTGTGTCTCAAAGAGATGGAGTTTTTCAAGAGGGTTGGTGAGTAATGGTTAAGACATGGCACTGGGGAGTAAAGAGAACATTGACCCTACCTCTTTACCCTGAGATGTGAGAGAATAAGCAAGCTTGTTACATGAGAGTCCACAGTGAGAGAAGCGGCACCTAGGGGCAGGCTCATTTCAGGTAAAGCCATGAGATAGAAGGGACAGCTCAAGAAGAGGTTGGGGACATGGAGAAGTTTGTTGATTATGAAATGGCAATTTCATTCTCAAGACAGCAGTTGGAGTGATTGTTTGGAAATGCCCATTTAATTATGCCTCAAACCCTGCAAGACCAGGGAAGAATGGAAGGAGGGGTCATTGGCAAGGTGGTGCGTTCAGAACAGCGTAGGGATCATATTAGGCTTAGGATAGATATGTTGAGAGGGAAATCTTGAAGTTTCTGATGAAAACAAGGATCATGGTGGAATTTACTTCTGTGATCTCTGAGGTTGGGGGTTGTGCACCAGGCCTAGTGGCCAGCCGACTCAGGTCACTTGGCCTGGGATGCTTGCAGTGCCAGCCACCAAGATCTCTGTATATGTGGTGATATGAAAAGGTGTGGCATGGCTCAGCTATTTGGACAATTGTATTGGTTATAATGCAGGGGTAAGTAGAGACCAGATTATATTAACGTTGTCTTTGCCTAAAGGAAAGAAGTATAATTATCTAGGCTTTTTTAAAAAAAATTTTTTTAGAGGGAGAGGAAGAGAGAAGGAGAGAGAGAGAAACATTGATGATAGAGACACATTGACCGGCTGCCTCCTGCATGCCCCTTACCTGGGATAGAGCCCACAACCCCAGTATGTGCCCTCACCGGGAATTGAACCCTGACCTCCTGGTTCATAGGTCGACACTCAACCACTGAGCCTCACTGGCTAGATAGGCATTTTTAAGCAGTCTCTCCACATGCTGTCGGAAGAATGATAGTAGAGGGCAAAAGTGGATGTAAGACACTGCTTAGAAGTGATTGCAGAAGTCCAAGTGTGAGATGATGGCAACTTAATCTAAAGGGTGGGAGTGAGCATGGAGAGGGGTGGACAAAATCTAAGAGAACATTTTTATAGCAAAAAGAAGTAGAGCGATGCGAGAAGAGAATGCCCTTTCTAAGAAGCAAGAGGGAAAATGAGTCCCTGTGTGTTAACAGCCAAAAGAAGGAAGAGGTTTAGAAAGAAGGACAAATAAAAAAGTTGAATGATTCAGATATAAAGTTGAAAGAAGCTAGTCCTATTTAGCACCTGCTAGTTACCAGTCACTCTGATAGTTTTACATATGTAATCTTGTTTAATTCTTACAATAATCCTGAAATGTATTATTACTATACTTCTATGACAGAACTGAGGCTCACAAAAACATGGCTATATATAGCAAAGTCAAGATTCTAAATCAAGTCTAATTCCAAATTATGCCATATTTTTTTCAATTTTCTAAGTTGGCATTGATGACTCCTCATAAATTTAAAAACAGCTGTTTGGGTGGAGAGGGGAGCTATTTCACTGAATGTATGCATGGAGTATAAGACAAATGAGAAACATAAAAATATGAAAATGAATCTTAGTCTTGAGGATAAATAGTAGTAGCTATTATGATGCAACTGCTGCTGATATGATGATAAAGTTAATGAAGGTAGTGATGATATGAAAAGGAATGTTATAAGCTTAGCAGTTCTTGTTTTAAAATATATTTTTATTGATTTCAGAGTGGAAGGGAGAGGGAGAGAGATATAGAAACATCAATGATGAGAGAGAATCATGGATCAGCTGCATTCTGCACACCCCACACTGGGGATGCAACCCGGGTACATGCCCTGAACGGGAATCAAACTATGATCTCCCAGTTCATAGGTTAACACCCAAATACCGAGCCACACCAGCCAAGCAAAAACAGTTGTTATGTGAAGCCAGTGGGACTTGGGATGCTTTGTTATACAGCAATAACTAACTGATTCATTGACAAAAAAATTGGTGGAGGGGGTGTCT